GTGGTGAAACTATTTTGAGGGATCACATGGAAATTCCCTAGGGGCCATACTGTTTTTAGACACAAAAAAACATTTGATCCGACGGAGTTCCAATTGTTTGATATCCAAAGGGTGTTTTCCTTGGAACTTAAAGAATATGGCATTTCTTTCCTTACTGAGATGTGACCTTAAGTTTCAATGGCACTAGTTGCCCCGAGCCCTCGGGTTGTTACTTGTTAAGAGTATTATTTCAACAAAAATATAGTTTGATACCCCATGAAGACATTATGGTATACATCAAAATATTTGTCACCTGAAGTACTTGTTGATGCGATGCATTTTTCACCAAGTATTGTGGGTGAAAGTGTCACAATGACGAATGTTACTATAGATGAAAAATGTGTTGATACTACACACCGTGTTGAAAGTGTGACTTCAAATTGTCCTCATATTTTTTGATGGGGATACAAACAACGATAATCTTAACGGGCAAATATTGTTTTAATTCTTTCAAATTTTTTTGTTTCATTTTTACCTTTTTTAAAAATTTGACTAAATTAAAGTGAAATTTTAAAATCAAATAAACAGTCCAATACCATTGACACTGCTCATTTGAGGTATTCAGGGCTGGCCCAACGGTGCCTCATGGTGCCTTACAGGCCTAGACTCCTTTTTTGCGGGAGCCCAACATTTTAAAATTTTTAATATATACTTCTTCAATCTCAGAAGAATGATAAGATCCTTTGGAAAAAGACACGTTTAAAATGACTAATTTTAGTATTATTTTCTAATTTTCGCCTTTATAATATAGTATGAGGAGATGTGTATGATATACAAGTCATAGTTAAAAATAACACTAAAATGACTCATTTTAAAGGCACATCTTTTTTCAAACACGAAGGGTTTTATGGGACGAAGAAAGTATTTTTCAAATAAAAAGTTTAAAAACATACTCCTTCCGTCATAAAACTTTCTTCCCACTTCCTCTTTTTCTCTGTCCTAAAACTACCTTCCCATTAGAAAAAAAAGATGACAAATGACATTAATACCCTCATGCATTTACACCAATTATCTTCTAACTCTATATTTTGAATGATTGCAAAAAAAATTTCAAAAAATCTTTTTTAAGGAGGGTAAAATTTGAAGTCAAAGCCAAAAATTAAAAATGGGGAAAAGTCAAACTGGGAAGAAAGAATTAGAACGGAGGGAGTATTTTTTAAGGAAGTTGTTACGATATTTAATTATAAAACTATAATTTTGTTAGGTGTACAACTATAATATGGATTGTTATTTTAAAAAAATCTGTAATAGTTTATATAATTTAATTTGTTAGGTTCAAGACCAATTTTTTTGGTCTCGCCCATGACCAACAAATGAATTTTACCCTTCGAGTTTCTGCAGGTGTTTTTGTCATTTGAGATTAGACATTATTGATTTTTCTAACAAACATACACAAATGGTAAGTTTGTGCATTTTGCAAGTGTTTTGTTTCTAACACTAACATTACTCTTAAATGAGACAAAGAGAGAATATTTTGAGCAATAAATGAGAAGAAATGTGTTTTCCTTATTTACGGATTTACCAATAATAAATTGTGTCTATCACTTATTAACAAATATAAGCTGGACCAAGTCCTCCTGTTTCATTCAAACAACAGATCAGAAGTTATCTAGACATGGCTGTCACGTTTTGGGAGGATGCACACGGGTTTTGTTCTCCACCAAACAAATTTCAATACTTAATTAAGAATATCATTATTTATTAATTCTCATTTGATTAACAAATAAATTACTCTATCCGTATTAAAATGCACTTTCAATTTCATTTTTTTATAACTTCTAAGTTCTATCACATAATTTAACAACAAATCCATCAAAGGAGAAGTTCAATTTTTAATCATAATAGTTCTTAGTTTTCAATACTTGTTTTGAATTTCATCAAAGTTAAACATAGAAGTATTTTACGACTTAATTATGAGACGAAATACCAAGACACCAATTAAGCAAAAACCTCAAAGTTGTGAATTGTGATTGTAGATTTGTAGGCACGAAGAAGATTTTATACTCCAATTCATTAACACCCTCATTTTTTTAATCAACAAGATTCTAATACTATGTAAAAAATGATTATATACAATCAAAACCTAAAGCTGCGTACATATGTAGTGGTAGGTCTAGAAAAGATTTTAAAATTTTAATTATACTATGACGCCTCCTCGGGAAGTATTAGCTCTATTGCGTAATTTTTATCCTGTTTAGTTTTTCACGGTCTTTAATGCTATAATTTGATTACTAATATATATCTCTACTTATGTTTAGTTATATATTACAATATAAAAATATGATACTTTCAAAGCATGTTTTAAAATAAATATATTAATATTAAATACATATCATATATATATAGAACTGTACATTATACTCTTTCCATCGCAAAAAAAAAAATAATCATTCACTCGTATAACGTACTTGCCTAAATTTATTTCCAATTTAATTTATAGGAAAAATGGGAGAAAATAAAAAAATATATATTTTAAAAATGAATTAAAAATATATCAAATAAGATCTAATAGAACTCCGTAAAATAGTACCTCAATCACAAAAAACTTTTTTTATTTTGACTATTTTTGTCACCTTGTGACATTGTATGACCATAATTAAGTTGTAAAATAAGTATATTTAATTATAAAGTAAATTCCTTAACTAGATTCATGTTAGGATATAATTTTAATAAATTAAAGTTTAATAACATGTATTTATTTAAATTATATTAAATTTTTGACAAAAAAGTATTATAGTTTGACAAAAAATCAAAATAAGAAAGAGTTTTTGAGTGAGGGAGTATTTCATATTCTTTTATTAAGGCTCCATTTAACATCAATGCTAGAGATTATCGTTAGAATTTTGAAAAAGATTATCTGACGAAACGCTAACGCTAATCGCTGAAATGAGTAATGAAATGTGACAAAATTTAGTCCCCTTGGAGAAAAGATGGCGAGTTACTCTGTGTTAATTTGTGTAGCCCACGCATTTCCAACGGCATCACTACAAAGATGGAGGGAGGGACTGACTCCCCGCCATTTCCTCCCCAAATTATTCCCTATATAATCCCTTCCCCTCCCATTCTTCCAATCCAGCCTCGGAATAACAAAAAAAAGAAGAGAAGTTCTCTAACAATAAAAATCATCAAGCCCTAATAATCAAATAAAAGTTCCTCCTCTCACAGCCTTCCTTCTAGCGTTCCCGGCCGCCGCCGCCGTAGCTCTCGCCTCCCTCAGCTCTTCTCGTCGCAATCGCCGCCGATCAGAGTAGAAATGGGAGCCTGCGCGAGCAAACCTAAGGATCTGGACTCGCAGGAGGCCGCCGTCCCCGAGGCCCCTCTCTCCCCCAAAAAGCCCGATCTGGTTCAGGCGGAGGATAACGGAGAAGAGACGACGATGAAGGAGGCGGAGCCTCTGGTAGATCTCGCAGATCCGGCGGAATCTAAGGCGGCAGAGGAAGTGGCTGTGGATGCGGCCGTAGATGCTGCAAAGCCGGCTGTGGCGGCCGATGTTGTTCCCGCGGTCGAGACAACCGCCCCGATGGCCGCCGTCGCCGCCGTTGTCGAGGAAGATAAAGCAGCGGCCACAAAGGCGGAGGAGAAGAAAGAGGAAGTAGCGGCTGAGGTGGTTGTTGCCGCCGCCGCGGATCAAGCGCCGCCTGTCGCAGCCTAAATGTGTGAACGGTTAATTAACCGTTTGGGAATTGGATTGTTACGAATTTTATATTTTGTGGTTCCATTTTAAATGTATTGATGATATATGTCTGAGGCTCCATGTAACAATAACCCCAAAAAAATGAAAAACAATAATAAGGGAAAATCCCAAATTTAACATCTCCGTTGCATGCGTTTTGTAAGTTTTGGTGTGGATTTGTGGATGATGACATGATTGATTTGTTTTGGATAATTAAGCCTTTATAATTAACCTTTTGGAATTTTTAAAAATAGTATACATACTTTGGAAAATGCTAAAGTTACACGTTATAAAAGATCAATTTAAACGCAAAAGTTGTCGTCAAACGAGTACAAAAATGAATAATCTCGACTGAATTTAGATTAGTCTCTTGGCTAAAATCAAAATAGAAAGAAAAATACGAGATGCAAGGAGTTTATTTTTTTTTGCAAGACAAAATCTTACCGTTTTAAAACTCAAATTATTTAAGACAACCCACCTATTGCATTAACTAAACAAATGACATTCAAATGTGAATAAAATATTCATAGGGAGAGTGATTAGAGCAACTTGATAAATAGTGTGAAACTTTGTGTCCTCAAGTGTTTCAAAAATCTTGATAAAAAGTGTGAAACTTTTTGCAACCAATATCATGTGAAGAGTGATTAAAGCATCTTTAACACAAATTACTCCTTATTGAAAACTTGCATAAAAATACATTTATGAGGAGCAACTTCATATAATAAAGTTTTATGTAGGTGCGAATAATTAACGAATATATTTGATGAAATCTAATTGCGAAAGACAAACTACCACTTTTCAAGTAAGGCAGGATCCCAAGAGCTTGTTCGTTTTTTTCGTTGTTAAATATTTTTCTAATGAATCAATCTAGAATATTTCGAATTCTCATTATGAAGGGACTCTAAAAGTTCTATAGGTGGATCAGAGGATCTTTTGAGTTTACTTGGATTCTTTCTTTGAACCAAATGAGATCTTGATCTTGTGGAAGTAGATTGCTCTATAAATCCATCAAATTTAAATATATGATGCAGTACATCCTCATTTTTACTCCTCTAACCTAATTTAATTTGCCCGCTTTATATATGATACTTAATTAAATCATTTTCAATTTATTAAATTTGAAAATGAGTGTGATTTTTTATAAATACTCCCTCCGTTCTTAAAAACCGCAGCTTGGCCCGTAGATTCATTAGCCAAAAGCCCAACAAGTCCTTAAAAATGCAGCCCTTAGCTGAAAGGCCTGAAAGCCCATCGGAGACTGTAAGCCTGAAATTATTTAATTATAGCGCATGAAGAAGGCCCACTCTCTAGTCTCTTCCGCTTAAGAAAAACAGACCACTCCACTCATTTCCCCACCGGACTGGATATGTGATAAGAAGAATGGAGATGAACTCCTGTCTCTCCCGCGTTTCTGCAATTCCCGGCGTTCTTCAAACAGTGAAATGCACAGTGCAGTCGCCGCTCGCCGTGATCGGCAGAAGCTGCGCAGCTTCCTCGGTATCGGCCCGGCAGCCGCTGCGCAGCTTCCTCGTTCTTCCTCGCGTTTCTCACCGCAACAGTACTTACCGGAAATCGCCCCGGCTCAAGTCCCGAGCGTTCCTTCTGAAATCCTCGTCTTGTTTCCACGAACGACCTTCGGTAGCTCTAGATAGTCTCCGAATCCTAGAGTGGGACAAGGTTTGCGACGCCGTTGCTTTATTCGCTGGCACATCACTTGGCAAGGAAGCCACCAAGGTTTGATTTGTGAATACATGTGCACGGAATTTACCTAATTTTTTCAGTGCGATTTTCAATTTCGTGAAAGTAATTGAAGTTTCGTCTTCTATATAGGAAAATCTGTGGAAGTTGAGTCCAACTTTCGAAGATAGTATTTCACTTTTAAAGGAAACTAGAGCTGCTGTGGAAATGTATAACTACGGTGCAATGATGGAGTTCACTGGAATTGATGTTGAACTGGTAGCTTCAGTTTCCTATAGCCTACATCGTATAATTGTGCTCTCTTTGAAGTTTGAACTAAAATATACTCCGTATTCCATTGGATATAAATCACAAAAAAGTGAAATTAAAAATGTAATCACGGAGTATTTCTGCTGTTGTTGCTGAACGTGTGATAATGTGCTGTAAAATGTTGCCTAGTGTGTATAACTCATGCTAATGATTCCACTTCTCATTGTTAATGAAGGTGAAATTTTCTCTCCGATGTGCACATAGGGATTCTCCTGTGAGTGGGAGTGAAGCTGTTGCACTTGCAGCTCTGCTTCAGTTCGCTGATGCTATAAAGACAAATGTTAAATCTGCAATCAAACAAGATTCAGAGTGGTATGAGCGCTTCATGCCTCTTACTGAAATGGTAGTCTACAATTTATGTGCATTGATCTTTTACTTGGACACTGACCACCTGTGTTTATGGATATCCAGTTATGTTATGTTTGTGCTTGCAGATTATGGAACTTGAGTCAAGCCGACCTTTAGTGAGCTTCATACAGCAACTGGTTGATGAAGATGGCTCTGTTAAGGATTCTGCGGTGTGTTCTTTTTATAGGAGAATCATCTAACCTTTTTCTTAACATATTAAACTGTCTTCATGCCCTCCGAGTTTTTGGTTTGTTAACTAATGTCCTAATAGATAACGACCAAACATCTTGTTCCATATTTTTTTTGGTTTGTCTCCTAACTAGTATAGTGATAATTTTACAGATTTATTGATTGTTTTAATTGTTGATTAAATACTAATGCCTGCAAACTCCTGTTTAGAGCTCTACTTTGAAACAATCACGTGATCAAGTACATTTTCTGGAAAGAAAGGTACAATTCCATATTTCTTCTCCCTTACTATTCATAGTATTTCTTTGATTAGATAATATCATTAGCTTTGGGGTAATTCTTGTCTCTTTTTTTCCTGTTCACTTCACCGCAAGCTTTTACTTGATTGATGGAATACCAAATAGGCAAATATTCTAATATTCGTGAGCTATGGGCATTCATACTTTATTTCTCATTGCCCGGAAATATTTTTATGAGAAGATTCTTCATGGTTGTATTACATTTTTATGTCACATTTACTATATTTTGTGAGCTACCTAATTTATGTTTTAATCATCTTCTGCATTCAGTTATACCAGTTGCTGGAAGCTTTGATTAGGAACGAAACAGGGGAAACATCCTTTTTGGTAACTTGTTCTCTCTTTTTTTTTCCGACTCTTCGCCAGCCCACAATTCTTATCATGTGTGTGGTAATAACATATAATATGATGATGGTTTTAAGATATTTCATCTCATTATTCTTTCTAATGGCGGAGTAATGCTCATGCACATGAATTGTTTGCGAGAATTAATTTTATAAAACTCATTGACACTAAAATATCAATGCCACCGACCCCAACTAGTCGGTTTTAAGGTGATTATAATGTTGATATAGCACTTCAGAAATTCAATGAAAAAGAAACTCGAGCTATTGGATTGATTAATTAAAAAATATACTCCAAAGTTAGTTTTACTTAAGCAATCAGATGGAGTGTTGTATTTCAAATCTTACAGCCTCTTCTCACATAATTGGCTCAGGAAGTGCGAACTGTTGATGGGAGATGGTGCATAGCATCTGGGTCTGCTCAAAGAGTTGGCTTTGAAGGCCTTCTGTTGTCAAGGTATCTGAACTAGTTCAGTTATCTATTTGTTTCCCATGTAATTCTGTACTTATTAGAACTTTCTTTTCTTTTGTTCCGTATGTGAAACATGACACAATTTAGAAAAGTATTTTACGGTTGTACGATGAAGGAACATATTACTAGCAGAGCATATGTGTCTGATAAAATGTGCTTAATACTGAGACTGGTAGTTTTTTGTAGTAATTCAGGAACGGGAAGTGTTATAGAACCTCTACCAGCTGTTACATTAAATAATGAGTTGCAACAAGCTAGGGCATCTGTGGCTAAGGCTGAGGCTGATGTTCTCTTGAAGTTAACAAAGAAGGTTCCCATTAGCTAGTATTGTAGTGTGTTTGTTTTATCATTTATATGGATTTCTGACCACAATATTTTGTCTATGTTCTTCTGGATTGCAGATGCAAGAGGATCTTCATTGTCTTGAGAATACATTCAATATCATAGTCAAACTAGATGCCGTAGGTATCCCATATAAAGGCACCCAAATCTTGCATGCAAATACTTGGTCAATCCATGTTTCCCAATTAACATGTTGGTTTGAACTAAAACCTTGGACCTAGTTGACCTCAAAGATTTGATTTGTGGGCTTCTGATAACCTTTCTTTGCCTTTCCATAAATCACTTTTTATCTAATATTTACATTTTTGCAGCTGTTAGTATGGACACCACTGACATTCATTTTCACTACATACATATAGATCAATGCTCGAGCACAATATGGCCTTTCATATGGGGGTACATATCCTGATTTGTTTTTTCCACGAATAAAGGACAACACTGTTGCTACTGATGCAATGTTGGATGATGAAACCTTCATAGCATCACATCCTTCCCTAGGAAAATGGACTTTGTATATACCAAAAGCACATCATCCCTTATTGCTGCAGAAGCATCGGGAAAACCTTCACAGCATGGCGAGAGGATCTCGAAGTGCTACTTCTGTAAGTGCTTTCTTCCATCTGTTGTCACGCAGTTGCATTTGGTAGTAAGTGTAAGTAAAAGAAATCAGGAGAATCATAGAATGTATATTTCATAATGTGAATAACTTATACTCCTTCCGTCCCATTAATGTTGGCAGTTTGACTTCATGGAATTTAAGAAAGTTGTTGAAAAGTAAAAAGGATGTGGTTAGAATTTGTTTAGAGGAGAGAGAAATGTTGGTAGCCACATATATTCATTACCAAAAGAAGGAATAAGTAAGTGCGAAGTTTTTTTTGGAACATCTAGAAAAGGAAAGTATAAGAAATTTTATAGGACGGAGGGAGTACATTGATATATATAGAACTAAACACTTCAAAGTCTTCTGCAGTGGTAACTTTACACCTACAGCTCTAACTTTTCACTATATCTATAGAGTGCATCTGTTATCCAACACTTTCCAGTCCCCCTCATGTTGGAATGTAACTATTTATCATGATCAACTTGTTACATCTTTGTTATATAATCAAGCTGAGTCCCACTTCCCATTTATTGCTTTAGTACTCTCTCCCTCCCTAAAAGAATGTCCTTGGTTGACTTTCATATAGTTTAAGAAAATGTGAAATTGTACGGGGGATGTTCATGAAGAGGAGAGAGAAATTATGTGAACCAGAAATTTCTTTCCTTTAATAGAATGAAACTTTTATTTTGGGACATCCAAATAAGGAAAACATGACATTCTTCCAGGGATGGAAGAAGTATTTTCTTATTGTTCACAAGTCTGCACATATCCAATAAAGACTATGCTTCTGGTATTATTATTATTATTGTTATTGTTATTATTATTATTAGTCTTGATATTATTATTATTATTATTATTATTATTAATTTAATTGTTATTATTATTATTAGTCTTGATATTATTATTATTATTATTAGTATTATTATCATTATTATTATTCTTCTTGTTGTTGTAATAATAATAATAATAATAATAATACCCTATTCAAATCAACTTTGGATCTTTGACATATTGTCCTTGGAGATGGAGGTGGAAGTTTAGTATTAGGATTTAGTTTTATATTGAATGCATACGTTTCTGAGGAATATAATCACATTATGATGTTCCTCTGTATGTTCAGGTTGCCGAAAGTATACAAGCTCCCCCTGTTCCTATTGACATATTTATAGACGGAAATACTAAAGTTCTGGTCATTACTGGTCCCAATACTGGAGGAAAAACCATTAGCTTGAAGACTGTTGGATTGGCTGCATTGATGGCAAAGTCAGGTGAGGAAAAGTTTTGTTTTGTTTTGTATTTTTTGTTTTGTTTTTCTGTTTGTGTTTGTTTTTTGTTATTTCTACCGAAGTAAAAAAGGAAATACAAGAAAGGCTAGTTCATAAAAAATCATTATTGTTGCTCATGGTAGAAGTTGTATATTAAAAATTAAGAATTGAAAATATTATCTCATTTATTACTCCATCCGTCCCATATGTTTTTTCCTTTCCGATTTCGGCCGTCTCAATATTTAGTTCCACTTTCCTTTTCAGAACGATTTTGTGGTTGAAATTGTTTATCTCTAAAAAGTTTAAATCACATAATTATTACTGTATTAAGGAGTGATCCAAGTCAAGGCAGGAACATAATTATGGGAGCATGGAATAGTTTATTAATTATAGTGAAATACATTACTCTTTAATAGAGGATTACAAAATCCTCAACCAAAGCAATGTGCACTTTCTGTCTGAGATATATGGTAAAAGGAATGTGCTGTAATTTATCATAATGGAATTTGATTCTGATTCAGGAAAACTCAAGCTTTTTAAATGGTCACATTTGGCATAGTGCCTTACATACCACTAAAACTTGTATATGACCAATGATTAGTTTTAGTTTCTTGCCTATCTGTTCTTGGCTAGGGATCGGTCATGGAACTTAGAAGTATATTAGTGAAGAATGAGTTTTAGTTCCCCATATACTCTTCTGGGTTAGGGTAGCTCTTGGAATCTTGCAAATAAACTGGTGGTTTTATTGTGGAATGTCAACGAGAAGAGCATACAAAAAATCTGTAATTGCTAGATTTTTCTGTTTTTTATAGACATAAAGTAAACATTTAGATACTTGAACATACTATTATGTTTCAGGGCTTTATGTGTTAGCTTCTGAACCAGTGAAGATCCCTTGGTTTGACCTTGTATTGGCTGATATTGGTGATGAACAGTCCCTCTGCCAGTCTTTGTCCACCTTCTCGGGTCATCTAAAACAAATTAGTGTGGGTTTCATAATAGGTCTCAAGTTAAAATGCCCAGCTATGCAATATATGAACATCTTATCTGTTATCTTAATACTTTTCTGCCATAAATTGCAGAAGATTCAGTCTTGTTCAACAAGTATGTCCCTCGTGTTACTAGATGAAGTATGTACTAGCAGTTCATGTACATTTGCTAGATTACTTTGGTTAGTAATTTACAAAAATGTATGTTATTGGGCAAGTAATTGTAACATCATTATCCATACTTTCTCTTGTAGGTAGGCGCCGGGACAAATCCTCTGGAGGGAGCTGCATTGGGGATGTCATTACTAGAGTCCTTTGCAGAAGCTGGTGCTTTGCTGACAATAGCTACAACACATCATGGAGAACTCAAGACCCTTAAGTACAGGTGTCGGATTTTACGATGAAATGTTCATATGCATGAAATAATTTCCTCCCAAGGGTGTATTATCATGTAGTGAAATATCAACATTGGCAGCTTCAAGGGCTTCGAAAATGCATGCATGGAATTTGATGAAGTGAAGCTGAAGCCAACTTACAAGATTCTTTGGGGAGTTCCAGGTTCTCTTTTATTTTTGTAATGGTAGTCTCTTCCTCACTTCAAAAGTTCTGCTAATTTTAATCATATATTTCTATTTTATAGAATCAATGTATCATTTCTCACTCATTGATCTTCTAGGATTTTCTATTTTTTGTTCTGTCTCAGGAACTATTTGTTTCCGATAATTTAACCTTCTATGTTTTCTTCATATCCAAGTAGCTGACACATTCTTTTGTAAATTGGGTCTTCATGATGCTGAAGTATACAATCTGAATAGTGTCATTTTAGCACAAACTTATGAAGCATTCTGGTGGCAGGACGCTCTAATGCAATCAATATTGCCGAGAGGCTTGGAATGCCTAAAGCCATCCTGGACAATGCTCGTGAACTTTATGGAGCAGCCAATTTAGAAATTAATGAGGTAATTTCATCCAATAACGTGTATTTGTGTACCAGTGCTTAGTAACCGGTGGACGAGTGCACATCTAGGCTGTCCAACTTACCTTTGCAGCTTGAGAATCTTTTAGCAATATTTGAACAATGAAGCAGTATACCTCTATGTTGGGCTGGTTTTGAATTTATTATGCCATACATTGTAGATGGAAAGGCTTCTCTAGATCATGCACTTTCGTATGACGCAAAATTTATCAAATTTACGTGGTGTAAGTTTACACTACAAATTATCTGATTACATTATAATGTCATTATGGTCTGCCAAACTACACCTTTGTGTGCAGATTGTGCATTTTTTTAATCAATTCAAGCAAAATTTGGTATGCAGTGTTCTTGCTGAGTCATGTCAATATCATGTACCCCAATCTAAAGAGAAAATAACTACTGCAACCTTTTAGTTTTAGTTTATGCACTTTATCATTGTTCAATGCATTCATATGTCATCATTTTTCATTTCTTTATATTCCTGAATTCTCTGCAGGTGATACTTGAGATGGAGAGATTTAAGCAGCAGATTCATGAGCAAGTTCATGAGACTCAACATTACTTGAAGTAAGTTGCCATTTGATTGATTGTCATACCGTAAACTGTTTTAATTTATTAATTAGTTGGTTTTGTTCAGGCTATCAAAAGAGCTATATAAGAAGCTCCTTGTTGCCAAAAAGAGAATCGCTGAATATGGCATGGAACAAAGATACAGGAAAATGGAAGAACTGTCTCGAGTAGCAGCAGCAGCACGTTCGGAACTCCACAGGAGAGCTCGACAATTTCGCGCATCTACAAGGAAATGTTCTGAAACAGCAGATTCAAGTGATTTGGAAAGTGACAATGCTAACTCATTAAAAACTGAAAGTCCTAATGAAGCTACCAGGGAGGAGATCACGTCCAAAAACTTAAATCCCCACGTAGTAGGTAATGAATTGATATTCCCTAGCTTCCTTCATTTAGTTAGATGCACTTATCTTTAGTCCGTTGCAAAATTATGAGTGCATTTCTAATTTAGACAATGGATTATTTTTAAAAATTGCGTCAAACCAAATACATCTTGCATTAATATCTCTTGCTAAGTGACCAGTGCTTAGAGACAATTTCTTGCTTACTTACCCTTGTGGATCTTCTTATTCTTTGAGTATAGCTGAGAAGAAGGCTGAACTTCCCAAGGTTGGTGATACGGTACATATTCTTTCTCTTGGCAAGAAAGCTCTAGTCCTAAAAGTGGATTCTTCTCGAGCAGAAATTGTAGTTCAAGCCGGTAACATGAGGCTCAAGTTGAAAGCTTCTGATGTTGTAACCTAACAGGTAGAATTTGCTCCATCCGTAATCTGCTTTTTACTATATCCGTGTAAATGCTGATGGTCGCCAAGGGGAGTTTTAATGCAAGATCGATGTTATAAAAACTACTCTGTTATTCCAGGTAAAAAAAGAATCAATTGCATTATTATAATGTTTTCATTATCAACATACTCCAATGAAATAACTAGGAATGTTGATGGTGAGAGGAAAATCAAACCTTAATATCGAAGCAACCTAGGAGAAAGCCATTGGAAAGAACATGGGAGTAACAACTATCTTAGGTAGGCTATACCAATTACTAAACTAGCCCTCATCTATATATATAGTCCCAAGATGTTCTCCACCTCATCATTGGACTCTTCAACCGTTGAAACCACCAACCCGAAACCCACCATGACGTCCAGGAAATAAAGCATGCAGACCATTACCATGCAACAGACGAACATAGGAATAGGTCCAAAGATCCACAAAAAAAGGGGGAAGGAGAAGTAAAATGCTCTGAGCCCCAGAGACCAGAAATAGCTCCCTCTGTTCACCGTCCTCCCCACGTACTCCGCCGTCAAGACGAACGTCCCGCACGGGCTGTCTCGACCAGCCTCTGCCGCCATCTTCCTCCGGCAGGGCACGTTGATGAGGAAGCTGGCGTGGCTGTAGTATCTAATCGACTGCACATTGAACAGGAAAGCCACCAGGAAACACACCAGTATCGAGAAGAACTTGACGCACGAAGCCAGCTCGCTCTGGTCCCCCAACAACAGCCTCATGGAACGTTCTCCGTTGACGCCCGTCATCAAGACGGCGATGAGCGAGCTCAGCATGATCGCCGTCGACGCTAAGAGCGTGGACGCCATTATGTTGTTCCTCAGCGTCTGAACTGCCAAAACCCCGTTCTTCGACACATCCTATACATTTACATAATAACAGTGAAAGAATAGATAATTAATGGGAGGGAGGGAGAAAGAGGAGGAGGGATAAGGGGACGGGACCACCTCACCTCCATCATAGCACGGACCCATAAGCGGCGGTTGATGGCATTGACGCCTATGACGGTGCGATTGGGGTTATTCCGAATCTGGGCGAGAAGCCATAGGTGATAAGCCGCCATCGCCAAGAGGCCCAGTGGCACCAAAACGTAATCCAAAATCTGTTTCTCCATCTTCTTCCTTTGTTCTTTAATTATATGGACTGCGAGCGGATTGCAAGGAGAAGAAGAATGGTGAAATTTAATAGAGTAAGAGAGAAAGAGAGACGTCCTGGGCGGTGGCGATATGTATATATATGTATTCAGTATTCACGATATTAGCTGTGCGTGCGATTATCTACAAGGATGGAATGGGAAAAGGGTTGCTGATTACGATATACTACCTCAGTCACATTATACTCTTTCAATTAAAAAAGTTAGGAAAAGTGTAATTTTAAGGTTACTTTCCAATTTTATCCTTGTTTTATGCTAATCTCCTCAATTTGAATAATTTGTAAAATCATACTCCCTCCGTCCTATATCTTTCTTCCCGTTGCGCAAAACGAAGAAAAATCCCAAGTTTTTTCAATCTATTTTATTTAAATATTGGTATAGAAATAAAAAATAAAACATACATATTTAAAAACTACATCAAAAGTTCAACAAAACAAGTGGTGACAAGAATATTTTATTTTATCATATAGGACATGAAAAAAAACAAATAAATATAAATTTCCGTGAAGTTAGAATAGCGCTCTGGGAAGAAAGTTTTAGGACGGAGGGAGTAGTACTTCTTTTGTCCTAATTTAAGCTGCTTATTTCAGTTTACGATATTTCACTGAATTTATTTTTAAATCATTTTATATAAAAAATGATATAGAACTAAAAATAAAATTTGCATATTTAAAAACTATATCAAAACATTCACAAAATTAGTGGTGATTCGATTATATTATTTTTTCAAATGACTAATGAAATAGGAAAAAAAGTAAATAAAGTTTGACTATGTGAATAATAAACAGATAATTTAATTTGGGACGAAGAAAATATGTCTTATAAAATAATTCATTTACAAATTGCTATTGAAATAAAAGTGTAAATCACGCCATTCAAAATTACATAAAAAAAAAAAAAGATGCGACAAGAATATTCTATTAGGAAATTTTTTTATAAAGTACTAAAATATGGTGAGTTTCTAATGTAGTACTACTATTCAATCTCTATTGGACATTGTTCAACTAAATGTTCACCGTCGTTATATATTGTTCCCGTCACTGGACATTGTACAAATACTGTTTAAAGAATAAAAAGTTTTAGGTATAACATTGGAAACTGACATATGTTTTTGTACAATTTAGTGTAAATTTTACAATTTTGTTTTATTAAATGATCAACGAAAATATGCATAAAAGTTATTGAGAATTCGTAATAGTAACTGAGTAGATTAATTTGAGACAAAAGTTGTAGAGTAGCATTAGATGTGATGTCGCATAGATTAATATTAAATAGATATGATGTACTCCCTCCGTCCCTGAGTGTTTTGCACACCATCTAATGCACTTCTTTAATCCATTTTATCTTGTAATTTGTATATTAAAACATTATAAAAATTATATATTAATAATCTATATGTTAAGACGAATCAAACAAGATTACACATGACTATTTTTAGGCTTACACATTGAGAGAATTTGATAAGTCAAAGTGCTTAGATGAATAGTTCCAAAAGTCAAAAGTGGACAAACACTCAGGGACGGACCAAGTAATAAGTAGTAAGATGATTAGTTGTAAATAGGACATTCTAATCGGGTGGACAACTAAAAGCATAAATGGATCGGATACACCACATAAAAGATTGATAATCAAACACTAAGCAATGAGAATATTAAAAACCCCAAGTAAAAACCCAAGCATCTTTGGGTGCAGTGCTTCCATCCCGCATACCATTTTTTTCTTCCTGCTCTATATGGCACCGGAATTTCAATATACGAAAAATGTATATCAGTATTGTATTGAAAATTTCACTATACCCAATTTATATATACCAAAATTTTGGTACGAGAAAAATGCATACCACACGTACCGAAATTTTGGTACAGTGAAATAATACCAAGCACACAAGCTTGGTAGATGCATAAGTTATTGGCCTAAAATTTGACTATGTGATTTTTTTTTTTGGTGGGGGACATCAACTTTGCCATACATTAGCCATAGGGCATTATGAATGGAGCACATACAAGAGAGAAAGTACTGACAGTATTGCTAAGGTATAGCAGAGGCTTATGAATACTCAGCAAATTGATTAATGAGTAGAGAAGCATCTCACTATCTCTGTCACGGTGTGGGCGACTTTAATCAAATAAAGACTTTGGACGGTTTATTTGGGTAATTTGGGTTTAACAGCCCCAAATCATTACCCTATTTCTTTTTTTGCATTTAATTTAAAAAAAAATACGGTACACCAAAAAGTGTATTCAATAGTTATGATTAGTATTATACAAATGGGGTATACTATTTGGTGTACCCCTAGCCTTACTTTATTTTCAATATCCTGATAAATTATTCAGTATTATGCAATGGATAAAGATACAATATATTGCTAATCTTTTAGAGTTATTAATTTCAATGTTTCATGCTTGATCCTCCCTCGTTTTTAAAAGATTGTCAGAATTTGATTTTTTGGTCAAATGGTGGCATTTTTTTACCCTGAATTATATAAAAAGTATATTTAGTTATGATGTAAAATTAGTAAAATTGGATTTATTTTTAAATATAGTTTTGAATTATCAAATTTTTATTATATTTAATTACTTTAAACTATATTTATTTTGTTGTCAAAAGGTACCATAGTTTGAACAAAAAAGTCAAAATGTGGCAATTTTTAGGGATGGAGAGGGTATTGCTAAAAAATATCAACATGCAAGCCCATTAAAATGTGAAAAGATCTACATTTTAATTGTAAACCTTGGACCAATCGCAAATTTTTTCGTTCTTCCTAGGACCCATGCCTAGGGGTGTACACCAATCTAGAACCAGACTGGACCGGAACGGTACTGGAAAAACCGGAATCACCTAAAGTATAGGACCGGTCCGGTCCTGAGTTTTTTCCTGTTCAGTCGGGTAAAAACTGGAAAACCCAATTTTTTTTAAATTTTTGTCAAATGTTTAAACTTGTTTTTCAATAATGTATCTTGACTTGAATTGATTTCAATCTTACTCTAAAATTTTATATGCATTGGGCGTGTTTCAAGAAATTATATTATTACAAAATATTTTAATCAACAATATGATAAGTTTAAAATAATTTTTTCTGTTAGTTTGTAAGATTTCAAAAATATTATAAAATTGTACTTTAAACTACTTCATTTTTTGCAAGAATAAGTGAGATGTCAAATGATCTAATACTCTAAATTAAACTATTATACTTCAATTTTTTTTTTAAATTGTTTTAATTTTTTATAAGTATGGAGATTGTGGGGTAAAAGTCAATGGTTGTAACTTGTAATGATAAAAAGTAATGAAAATCAATTAAAAATTACAGATATTGCATTTAAAAGATTATACTCTATAAAAAAAGTACGACAATTACATAATTTTTATTATTGGTATTAAAAATAAAAAGATCATACTCTGGTCATACCGGTCCGATCCGGAAATTATCCAGTCAGTCTTGGACCAGAATGGACCAAATTTTTACTAGCCCTCAATATTTAGTCCGAAGACCGATCCAGATTTTACTGAACTAGCCGGTTTTTTGGTCCGGTCAGGCTTTCCGGTCCATATTTTGTAGACCCGTGCCTATGCTTGGAACTCTCTTTGAGTTTCACACGCGCATAGTCTTTTTAAGGGTTTAAGACCGAAATTGGGCGATTTCATCGGAGGAAGCTCAGTGGTTTATAGCAGTGAAGTTGAGAGAGATGGGCGAAGAGAAACAGCAAATCATGGCCGTTCAAATCCCGGCACAGAGTCCTATCGAGCAGTTCCAGGCCAAGTACAAGGAATTTCAGGACGGATTCAAGGGCTGGCTGGCCAAGCAATCCTTGCCGGTTGAAGCCGCCGTCGTCACCGCCACAAGCTCCGCCCAAGGTGCTCTCCTCGGCGCTCTCCTCGGCACTTTCTCATCTGACCTCTCTAAGTCTTTGCCTACTCCTCCTCCTGGGGCCAATTTCGATCCCAACGTTTCCAATGCATTTCAACAAGCACAGGTCCGTTTTTCTATCTCCCTCCATTTGTCCTTTATATGTGCTGGTTCTGTTTGCGTTGCAATTAGGTCAAAAAAATCGATTTTGTGCTCAAAGATCTGTTTTGTTGAAAGTGACAGACCCTATGTAATTGATGTTGTGTTGAAATGAATGTAATTTGTATTTACCTTTCAGGCACTGTCAGGTGGCCCCTTGTTTCAAGCTCGGAACTTTGCAGTCATGACCGGGGTGAATGCAGGTATTTCATGTGTCATGAAAAGATTGAGAGGCAAGGAAGATGTTCAGTCAAGGTGATTTTATTGAAGCTATCTTTTTTCTAGACTTGGTTCAGTTTGCTGCATCTAATGAGTTAATAAAGCCAGAATCAGCTCATTTCATACACTCCAATCACACAACACAACTCTGCATTGCTAAATTTGCTTAAATACACTGTTTTATTCAATACAACTACACTTCATTAATCCAATGACATGGAGAATTATTTCATGTTTGGTTTACAGTGCTGTTTGTTTGATCTGCTTTAATCTGATCATAGAGTAATTTTATTTTTCAAAAGTCAAAGACCTACACTCCAAACCCACCCAAAAGCCCACAATTATGTGGTTTGGTTTGGTATAGTTAAATATGCTCAACGTTTTGGATTGGGTTGCATTCAAACCGAACGATGCAAACCATAGGACAGCATTGATACTTTTGAAAGGATACCTTGTTGCTCATATACTACTCTTTTAACTGATTCCAGTATGGTGGCTGCATTTGGCTCTGGAGTTATGTTTTCATTAGTAAGCGGTGTCAGTGGTGGCCAGAATCCTGTAGCTGGTGCTTTACAAAATGGTTTGTTCTTTGCATTCGTTCAAGGTGCAATTTTCAAGGTAAATATATTTGGTCAAAGATTCTTCCCGTCTAAGTGGACACTCATCATTCATTGCAATGTATGTGGTTTATAAAACCCACTTAGTTTGACAAGTATGAGAGGATTTTGGAGCGTGGTGATAAGGTCATGTTACTCTCTTAGCCACAAATACTGCACTAGTCCCTGGACTGGAAATGATATTTGCCCCAATTTCTCTCATGTTCAGGGAATCATTGGCTTCGGCGATTGAGTGAAACAAGCCACCCATGTACATAGAAGTGTCCGTATAGGAGAAAGTGTCCATATAGTAGAATTTGCCTTAATCATGGGCTTCATTAATTGAGTGAAGCAAATCACCCATGTACATATGAAAAGTTTCCTTGTAGTACCATTTTTCTATTCAAGCGTTTTAACATGTTCAAACAAATGGTTATCATATACTCCATACCATTAGTATTATTTTGTGACAAAGTACTTTGACTACTTCCTTCGGCCGATTTTTGAAATGCATATTTAGTTACCAATACTAAACTAAACATTACTGCATTATGAGAGAACTCAAAATAGACTTTAATCAAGCATATGAAGTCGTAATCCAAAATTTGCATATTCAAAACTATACTAGACTTCATTTAAATCACGATAACTGAATCTGAGTGCAATACAGATTTGATGTTCTCAGATGATAATGAGAATAAAAGAGTTTTGGTCGATCTTATGAATAGTCAAAAGGACATAAAATGGGGGGGAAAGTATTGCACAAATGCTGATAATGTTATGAGAGTTTCACGTACTGATGATTTGCAAGATTTTGGCTTTGAAAATAGTTTGTTTGGTTGGTGCAGTTCGGGCAAAACTTTTCACAGAAACCTGTAGAAGATATTTACTATGTCAAGACTAGATCGATATTGTCTGGCCTTGGACTTCAGAAATATGAGAAAAATTTCAAGAAGGGTTTGCTGACAGATATCACCCTGCCTTTACTCAATGACAGGTGAGCTAATATACTTTTATTTTTTGATTAAATACTCAATCGGTAGTCTGCCCCAAATGAAGTTTGCACTTTCATTTTTGGGATGTTCCAAAATAATGTTGACACTTTCTTACTTTCCTTAAAAGTAAATTTTGTTTGGCTGTTCAATTTCTCTCTTCAAAACAACAAAACATATTGTAATCACACTTTTTCACTTTCCAATAATTTTTCTTAAACTCTGCTAAATCAAGCAATGAACTTCATTTTGAAATGAAGGGAGTGTATTGAATAAATATCTCAAATTGGTTGTACATAGTAAATGAATTCGAGTCTACCATAGTATACAAGTGTGAGTAAGTCCAATCTTCTCAAGGATCCTTTTATAAAGAGTTAGACCTAATGGTCTGATTTTTGGGGGTACCTATTAACCCCTTACACCCCGACAGATTTGGGACTATACTAGGTTTCATGTTGTTAGTCGTGCATTCAATTCGAGCCTAGTATATCAGAGCAATTTAAATCTTACCTCTTAATGATCATTTTCAGCACAAGTTAGGTCCAATTTAACCAAACACCCTTTCAGCATTTCCTAATAAAATCTCATGTGTGGTTATTGTGTCAGTGCGCTTCGTGATGTGAACATTCCTCCCGGACCAAGGCTCCTTATTCTTGATCAAGTTAAGAGGTTTGTCGTGAACAATGCTCTGTCTTCTTGGACTTGCTCGAATCGAACCACGGTCTCATTTTTTTTATTATGAATTCTTGTTTTCCTTTTAGGGATCCGAATCTCAAAGAGGACAACCGATTCATCTAGGGATGGCGCACTTGCTTTATGAAGAATCTTCAGGTTGTAGTATTATTACCCCATATAATAATGAGGAGCGCAAACGCTTTTGTAGTTTTTTCATATTTCATTTCACCCCTCCCCCCCACCCCCCACCCCCATGCCTCCCACTCCCAATGACTGGGTTTCCATGTGCAATGTTCTATGAGTCTTGTATACTCCGGGTTACTTCATATTTGATGTTTTTCTCTTCCAAACTACTCTCCTCTAAAATTATTCTTCATGTGAGAATATCATGGTGATTATGAGTAGAATGAAAATTGTATAAATGCTCGTAACTGCTTTTCGGTTCGACCGGTTGAAGTATATTCGAGAGTGATAGAGAGTAAGGCCACATTTACTTGATCTGATTAGTTTTGATCAGATTGGAATAAAATTTGATCTGATCTGAATGTAGTTATATTTAAATTTATTTTTAATCTGATCTTTGCAAAGTAAGAGTCGTAATTGAGAGGTATGGCTTGCGTGGAGGGTGCTATTATTCGTTCTAAATAGGACAGTCTCTTTAGTAACACTCCATATGAGTTACAAATAAATAAAGTGGATCTTGCAAAACCGTTGAAAATTATGGAGTACAAAACTATCACCTCATCTTCATTGAACACTCCCTCTCTCACAAAAAATTAATCTTTCTATTTTTCTTTTTATTTGCTTGAAAATAAATTCTTAATTGCATAAAAAGAATAAAATAAGTGGTCCATATTGATTTTTCATATCTACAAATTGTTACTTAAATAATTTTATTTTTTTAAATTATGTGGAAAAGAAATGAAAATACTCCGTATTAATTTGAGACCTTTGTATAAATAATTTCTTTTTATCTTTTGTCATGTTTGTATTAATTTAAAGGCTAAAAGTATAATTTGATATCAATCTTATGTCCAATAACGTATTCTGATATTTGATTAGATGGATAATATAAAATATGACTATGATTGTGGAATAAGACTCTAACAAAAGATACGTATGTAGACAATGATTATAGTAGAAAGTGATTGTTAGTGTACGATAAGAAAAAAGTATTATCATTGTAAAATATAATTTTAGTCTTCAAATTAGCACCAACATTATAAAAGATCAAAACAAAACTATTTGTAAAATGATACTCATAAAAAAACTAAAGTAATATCTGACAATGAATCACAATTCATTGTAATGGATAAGACTCCGAACTCTAGTATAAGAGGCTTTTCCATTATTCATTCTTTGTTATCTAAACTAAACCCAGTACCCAATCAATAGAATATACGGAGTATATAAAATAATGAATGAAGCTCAACCACATAGTGTGTGAGTTAAAATTGAGTGAATAATGGTTCAAAATATTTTAAATAATGCTAGAGTCATAAACAAAATATTCATAAATTATGTAAATTTATCAATGATGTCAAATAATAGTCACAAATATATTCTCAAATAATAAAAAAATAAAAATTTAAATACACAAATGATAAATTTATACTCCCTCCGTCCCAAAAAGAATGGGACGGTTTGACTTTTTGGGAAATTAAAGGAGTGATATTTTTGTATTGACTTTCTAAAAATACCCTTGATGTGATGGGTAAAAGTAGGATGTGATGGGTAGATTATTATGAAAAAGGTATGATGTGATAGGTAGGGTATGAAAAAGTAAGAGATAAAAGTGATTTTTATTGAAATGCGACGGACTTTACGGGACGCAATTTTTTCTAAACGTAACAAACTTTTTGGGACGGAGGAAGTACATTTTGTGAATATTTTGTCACTCTAAAATTACTCAGATATTTTTGCTGGTTAATTTACTTAGAGATCGATCGATGTCGGATATTAGGGTCTCAATTATATAAATGGCCTTGTTAGAGGAGATCTGATCTGACATAGTAACCTCCAATAATCATGGAAAGTTTATTGGAATATAATAAAATTGGATGAATATATATATTAAAGCTAAAAATATAGATTTCATCAAACATCCACTCACAAAACACAGCATATATATATTTATACACTAGTAATTAAACAAATAGGTTGTACAAATTATTAGAAGAGAACAAAAAAAGCTGCTTGCGATCACAAATTATTACAGTTAGCTACAACGAATCGCCGCAGTTATTATTAATTATTACTACTAATAATAACGGAAGAAGAAACGGCGGGGATGAGATTGGTGGCCGCCGTTAGCTGATTCATCAACGCCGTAATGTGAGCCCGGTAAGCCCGAGCGTCGTCCACCGCCTCCGCCTCCAGCTCCCCGAGCTGAGAGCTCAGCCGCTCCTCCGCCTCCTCCGCCACCCTCAGCCGCTCCCACGTCCTCTCCAGCTCCCTCCTCATCTTCTCCTCCCTCTCCCGGCTGCTCCTCAGCTCCTTCTCCATCTCCTCGTACCTCTTCCGCAGCTCCTCCTCCGCCCCCGCCCCTCCTTCCCTCCGCCGTGCCGCTAAGATCGGAGCCATCTGTTTTGCTTTATTAATTTTCTTTTCTGGGGAAAATTGTGGGAAAATAAAATGGTGAAATGAACGGTTTGAACTGGTGTGGAGAGAGATGAAAAAAATCGTTGCGATTTTATAGGGCCGGAGTACCGGACTTTGTGTCCAGGTTCAATGTATTTGACGAGGGAGCTAGATGTTATGGAATCAGCAAAAGTAGTGGAGGGGCTATTGTGTCATTTCGCCTAGCTTGTGTGTGAAATTAAAAAGGCCCCCCTCTACTGGATAGGAATGATGTCATTGTGCACGTTAGACTTTTGTTACTCCGTACTAAAATAAATTTTACTCTTCGAATTATTTACAAAACCTTCCGTTTTTGAATTTATTTTAGAGCAATGCTAGGAGTATATCAAAAGTGTATCTCAAATGTACACCATCCTTTCTCCACTACATATTTTTATTTGATTTTTATTTACTTTTTTTTTGAATTTATTTTAGAGCAATGCTAGGAGTATATCAAAGTGTATCTCAAATGTACACCATCCTTTCTCCACTACATATTTTTATTTGATTTTTATTTGATTTTTATTTACTTTTTTTTTTGAATTTTTTTGCCTTTTTTATGGACAATGATGGGGCGGGGGACATATGGGGTACACATTTGGTGTACCCCTAACATTTTTCTTTATTTTATTACTCCATATTACGGAGTATAAATTAGTATGTATATAAATAAAACATAAAATTATGTGTGTAAAAATAATGTTACCTTAGTCTCAATTTAAATTGTCTATTTCAATTTATTATGCTCGACTGAATTTATTTTTAAAATATTTTAAATGAAAAATGGTGTAGAATTAAAAAAATTACATATTTAAAAACTATACTAAAAATATACAAAATCAGTGATAACATGACTATATTATTTTATCAAATGACTAACGAAAATTGAAAAAAAATGAAGCAAGTTTGACCTTGTGAATAGTAAACAAGGAATTTAATTTGAGACGGAGAGAGTAATATTTAAAAATATATAAAATAATAAGTATATGAGTTTTTTATTTTCTCAAATAATCAATGAGAGTATGTTAATTCATAAATGCAGAGTATTATTGAATAAACGAAAATAGTAACAATGCAATTCACTACTCATTTTGTCTAACAATAATGTTCCCAGGCAGTGACGAAGCCATATAAGGTCAAATGGGTGCACTTGCACCTACTAAAATGGACAAGAAAGCGCATATGTATTTTTGTATCGACTATATTGGGTTCCAGACTTGGTTTAAGCAAGGCAAATGGATCATGGTCAAATTTTTTACACTTTGGGTGGAATATTTTCGTTGCCTATATGATAACATAATATAGGCATGTTACCTTTAGTTTTGTAGATCTTTTCATGTAGTTTTTAAATACGTAATTTTTGTTTTTTAATATTATACAACTTTTTATATAAAATAATTTGAAAATAATCACTCAAACACTGTAACGTGCTACGAGAATATTATTGTTGGACGGAGTGAGTAGTATTTAAATACATGAGTATTTTACGTTCATTCATTTTGTTTTCATATACATGCATATGATATACGGTCCACGGAGTATTTATCTTTGATTTACAAATATGGATATTTATCATCAATTTACAAAGTATATATTCCGTGTTTGTAATGTTTGTAAAGATAATTATATATTACCGAAAATGGGGTCAAACTCAGAGTACCCCAAATCATGACTATATATAATTTCATGAATGTGAGAGCCAAAAAAAAAAAACTTCTTAGATGGAGTAAATTTAAAGATAATTAATAAAACTTTGAGTCAATATAGTGTATAAATGTTTTCACCAGATTTTGACATGGAGGGTTTGGTTGACCAAACGAGATCGAAGTCAATGATATGATGGTTTTAGCTAACTTGAATAATATCTATACATATAACGTGTTATTAGTAGCTTCGAATTAAAGTCAAATAAATATAAAAGTAGACGCTACCATAGCATGCATGAGACACACGACCAATTTTCTCCATCTTGTGTTTGGGACTCTAATTTCAATTCGTACCTAATGGTTGACATATATATATATATATATATATATATATATATATATATATATATATATATATATATATATATATATATATATATATATATATGCATATGAACATTTGTGCCAATTCAAACAACGCACCCGCCGACTCCATCGGATGGATCCATAGAAGATATTGTTTCATTTTAAAAAATTTAAAATGAAACAAAAGAAATACTCGATAATAAATTTCTTCAACTATAAATTTTTAGCTGAAACTATGAGAGAATGTTGTCTTACGTGGTTGTTTGCTCTCTACGTCCTACAAAGCCCTTCTAGTTTTTGAGTTTTAAAAAATTTAAAGAGAGTATATTTTGGTTTTGACTTTCCAAAAATACCTTCGAATGTGAAGAGTAAAAGTAAATGTGATGTGTTGATTAATAATGAAAAAATGTGATATGATATGTAGGTTAAAAATTATTAGGGTAATTAAAAGTGACTTTTTAATAGAAATGAGAAAATTTGTTGGGACGAATAAATAAAGAATGAAGAAAAGTTTTGTGGGACGGAGAAAGTATTTTTCACAAGCTAAGTATTGAGTCTAAAATAATCTTTATTTATTCTCAATTAAAGCAGTATTTTTGTGTATTTTTGTGCATTATCATATATGTTGTATTCTATATATTATTTATAAAATATATTCAAAAAAAGTCTTATTCAAAAACAAATTTTCAGAAATTTTCAGAATGCTTAAAAAGTCTTTAGAATCGGGATGTCCGAAAAGGATATTCATTTTATATTTTGTTTTATTTTATTCCTCATTTTTGTAGTTGTCAAAAAAAAGTTTTTACTTTTTTATTTTGGAAAACAAAAAAACTAAAATTTTTTAATTTGAGACATAAAAATGTAATATACTTTTAAACAAAAACAAATTTTAAATTTTAAGAAAATTATAAAAAATTTAAAAAGAAATTTAAAAAAAATTTGATTAATAAAAGAAGCAATAAAGGGAAAAAGGAGAAACAAAAAATAAACGAAAAATAAGAAATAAGCACCAGTGCCACCTATGATTTGAAAAAATAGATATCAATCCTCTCTTCTTCGCTAGAAAAATGACCGGAAAATGATCAGTGGTGGCATGGATGCAATATTTTAAAACTACAGAGATTTTAAGAATAAATTTTGAAAATAAAAAGATTTTTATACCTATTTTTCAGACCACATGGAGAACTAGTGCTATTTGACTATTTTACTCCATTAATTATGTGGAGTGAGTATTTCTCGTATTTAGGATTTACGGAGTATTTGGCATAACTAGAATAAGAGTATGTGAAATTGTGAATTGTGATGTGATTGCCGTCCAAGTTCGTAAACCCAAAACGGCCAAAAGACAAGGGTATCCCACATATATTTCCGTCTTGGTAGTATTTTTGGAGGGTTGTGTTAGGGTACTATTTTGGTATATATTACTTGTACATTAAATGTGTTACAAACACATATTCGTAATATAATAATTATTTGTGCCACTGCCCGTCTGCCCTTAGATAGTTATTTTTTGTGTTTGTAATACATTTAGACTTTATTATTTTAGTTTAGAATTTCAGAATTGAATGTTGAAAAAAATTAAAAATAGTTAGAAGAAAATAAAAAGAATTGATAAAAATTTGAAGAAGAAAATGTTGGAAGCATTAAAAAGTTAAAAAATTACCAATTTGATGATCACCCAAGTTAATATGTAAGAATACTATAATTTAAGATAATAAAAAATTAATCACTGTTTGTGCTTAAGATAGTAAGTTATAAATTTGAATATATAAAGTTATTATATATTCATCATATATAAATATTATTCTTAGTTTATTTTTTTCTTACATTTTCTTCTTTTTAAATTTTTATTTTATTCTCTTTTCTTCCCTAACCAAACATAAAAATCTATTTTTCCTTTCATTTACTTTTCTTTTCCATTTCAAACTTCTTAAATCATACATGATGTAAAAGATTTGACCACTTTAAATTACGTCTAGAACAAAAAAAATTACTTAAAATATGATTAAAAATATAATTCTTATTCCAAAATAATACTAAAATATTTATCTTTCGAAATATGAGTTTTACATTGTTATTACGTGACATTATATTTTGATATTTTACAATATTTTAGGTACTATGTATAGTTTTATTATAAGGCTTATTTAAGGAAAAAATTACCGAGTATATAATAGTCCCATTTTATTTTTTAAATTTAACCATTATTTTAAAACTCCTTCCGTCCGAAAAATTTTTTCCAATTTTTCTTTTTAGTTCGTCCGGAAATATTCTTCTCATTTCCTTTTTTAGTATGCTTTTTAAGACTAAATATCAATTATACCCTTCTATTTTATCACAAATCTACTTTTTTAATACGGAGTACTTTTTTGATAATAAAAGGAAATTTAAAAGTTTATGATAAGTGTATTTTTGAAAATTTTGCATTTTTTTTTACTATTCCTTAATAAGCGTGCCAAGTCAACACGGGAAGAACATTTCCGGACGGAGAAGTAATAAATCATTGTTTTACAATTTCATAGAATCTAATTGTGAGGAGTAATAAAATCCAAATTCATTTCTAGTTAAGATGCGCGCGTTGGCACAAAAATAAACCCAAACCCGTCTTTCTCATCTTCTTGATCGTCATTACTCTCTGATAATTACTTAATTAGTCTCATAATAATTGTTCCTCTCCATCTCTGGATTCTCCCCGCAACCTCTCGCCATCACTCGTCCCCATTTGTTCATGCGTCCAAGTAAGTCCTCATCTCTATCGTTCTTCAAATCCATCTTCTCCAGCTCCTCACCCGATCCAGTCCAAGATCCTCTTATCAACATTGAATATTGATCTATATTCTCGATTATCTGTTTTCTTGATTGTCTATTTGTCTGTGTGGACTAGTGAATTGAAAGTATTTGAGCTCGTTCTTCTTTGCGTTCATGTTATTCTGTGGATTTTATAGTCAGTTACTTAGATCTTTACTAAATAAGTGATTTGGAATCTGGAATGATCTGCTCTTTTTTGTTTTGGTTTATTTCCAGGACTGTGTAGTGTGTAGAATTGAATTGCTATCTGAGTATTTGTTCGGTTCGTATAGTCTTTAG